CTAATGGGGGCTAGGAAGTAAGTGCAAACAACATCCACAGGCCCGGGAATCGAACCCGTGACATCTCGCTTGTTAGGCAAGAACGGTACCGCTTCTACCACCGGTCCCCCAACCTGATTACGTTGCAGAACGGGTCGAGGGTTGTGCTGGCTGGGGTCATCACCTTCGTGGCGTCTGAAGGCTGTCGCCGAGTACACACTGAGATACATTGTTGCGCAACATAGTCTCGGGAATGTTGCACGACTGTCTCAGAAAAATACAAATTTATTGCGCGACTTTCTCGCAACAGTCCAGAAACACGACTTCATATGTTTCTTGTTTCCCATCCCGTAAGGGAAACAAGATACAAAGTTTCTCAATCTGGACGCATTTGGCAACATGGAGTATCAGTTGACGTTCAGCCTGTGATCTGTGAGGTGGGTTTGCTTACACTTAAGAACTACATGCATTATTGTTTGCTTCGTTAACAGTACTACATGTAGTTGATATCTTTTATTTTCAGCATCATGTGGACAACTGAAACAACACTTTCTATAATTGAGATGCTACATGCTATTCCTTCTTTATGGGATGTCACATGCCCAGACTATAAAAACCGATGAAAAAAGAAAGACGCCATACAGAAACTTGCAAATGAGCTAATGTAGAAAAATTAGGAAAGAACATAAAAAGTTGAGTGATTCTAAAAAAAAAAAGTGGTTGTTCCCCTAAGAAGTGTTTGTGGTTCGGGTATGAACCGCTTATCTTCCTGATTGGAGGAAACGAGCCAAGAGGCGGCCAATGGACTGATGATGTAAATCAGGTGAGCATATAGCCTAAGACACAACAAAAATTAATACAAATTCCTTTGGGGCATCAATGAGAACGTCATACACTTCCGGAACGATGAAGATATTGACTGTTTTGACACTGAAGGTATACATCAGGCCTGTAAATGAGTCCCCACTGGCAAGATACCTTACTGGTACTGCCAGACGTATTTTGGCAGGGATTGAGGCTCCATAGTTTGTATTTTGCTTTGTGATTTTGGGACCAAAAATTTTCAGTAATATTTAAAAATCTGAAGCTATTGTTCTTAAAATTTTTCTAAATCCAGCTGCATCTTCTTGTTTCAGGTCTGTCATTAGTTTTTCTCCATATTTTGTTCCTTCCTCCACCATCGTCTAGGACTTTACCTTGCTCTCCATCTTCTTTCTCCTTAGGAAATAAAAACACAGGCACCCACTTCTGCATCCTATGTCCAGCAACAAAGTTTGCCGATTGCTTCTGGACTGTTTCACAGCAGTCGGTAGACAGTCCAGAAACAATGTTACCGTGTATCCCAAGCGTTTCTGGACTGTCTCGCTACTGTTTCTGGATTGTCTTGCAACAGCCCAGAAACATTGTTGAGCGACTGTTTCTAGACAATGTATTTTGGTGTGTACGAGGCTTAAGGCCACCTATCCCGACGGCCACATCTCTGTCGCTCACATCCTTGACTGGACCCAGAGTATCATTGGCAATTAATGAAGAAAATAATTGTACTTAAATATATTCAATAACCTTATCATTTTTGTTGCACATCAATATAATCACGCAATGGAGTACACCAAACAAGCCTTGGGAAATCTTATCCAACCTTACCCAACCTATAACAATCCTAAAACTATAAATCATATACTTTACCTTATTCGTGTTTTCGGTGTTAAGTATGTGTTGGTGTCTTTTGGGGTTCCGATGAGGAGGGGGAACCATGAACTCGAAAGCAATTTTTAACCTTTTATAGGTTAGGTCAGGTTTTCAAAGGCTTGTTTGGTTGTTCTTCTTAGTATTTTACTCCACAGTGTAACATTTCAATGTAGATCATTGAAAGTTTAATGGGCTATTATGATTTTAATATTAATTTATCAAAAAATAAAATTTTTTGAATCAGTATAAGAATCTACATTAGAAAAAAATATTTCAAATTTTTTGAGTTCAGTACATGGGTCAGGGGACACTGTCAAAACCGTCATGGAGACCTAAGGTTATATTCCGGCCAGTACCTCAATTACTGTTCTATGAAGGACTGTTTTTGGTGTATAGGCTTAAGATCAAACCAGAGATAATGGCTCTTAAACTTTCTTCTAAACTTTCTTTTTTTCAAAATAAGAATATGTAGAGTAATAAATGGACGTGTCTATCTCTAAATTGTGTCTGTCCCAGCTACAGCACAGCTCCAAAACGGAAGCAGTTAAAGACATGAAACTTGCACACACATATTACACAGGTCCCAAGGTTGTGCTCCTTGTATTACTGTTGACCACGGACCCAAGGGTGGTCCAGGAGAGAACCAAAAATCTTCCCAGACTGAGATATCACCACGGCGATTGTGGGAGATGGCTACCCGTATCAGGGAGGACAAACTGTGGCGGTCAGGATTAGGTTAAGTTGGTTTTGATTGGCTTGGGGTGGGGTAGTTTAGGTTAGGTATGGTATGGTATGGTATGGTAGGGTAAGTTATATTAAGTTACAGTAGGTTAGGTTGAGGTTGTCACCCGTGTCAGGGAGGGCATACAGTGACCGTCAAGGTTATGTAGTACTGTATAATTATATAAGGTGAATAATAACAATAGGCTGTGCAATGATTTTATTTGGCCAAATTAACAATAAAATGTGCTAGATAAAATGTAAACAAATCTTACATATGCTTAATTTTCTCTTATAATAATACATATTTTTTTATGCTTGTGTGTGAAGCAGATGTGAGGTGTTAAACAGACGTGTGTGTGAAGCAGATGTGAGGTGTTAACAGATGTGTGTGTGTGTGTGTGTGTGTGTGTGTGTGTGTGTGTGTGTGAAGCAGATGTGAGGTGTTAAGAGATGTGTGTGTGTGAAGCAGATGTGAGGTGTTAACAGATGTGTGTGTGCGAAGCAGATGTGAGGTGTTAACAGATGTGTGTGTGAAGCAGATGTGAGGTGTTAAACAGACGTGTGTGTGAAGCAGATGTGAGGTGTTAACAGATGTGTGTGTGTGTGTGTGTGTGTGTGTGTGTGTGAAGCAGATGTGAGGTGTTAAGAGATGTGTGTGTGTGAAGCAGATGTGAGGTGTTAACAGACGTGTGTGTGAAGCAGATGTGAGGTGTTAACAGACGTGTGTGTGAAGCAGATGTGAGGTGTTAACAGATGTGTGTGTGAAGCAGATGTGAGGTGTTAACAGACGTGTGTGTGATGTGAGGTGTTAACAGATGTGTGTGTGAAGCAGATGTGAGGTGTTAACAGACGTGTGTGTGAAGCAGATGTGAGGTGTTAACAGATGTTGTGTGAAGCAGATGATTTGTATTGCAGGGAAAGTGAACTTCAAAGAGTGTCACAACCAGGGTTCTAGTCACCATGTGCTACACAGTAAGAACGAACCTAACCTAAGCTGACCTGACCTGACCTGACCTAACCCAACCTAACCTAAGCTGACCTTGAGCATCAGCATTTTATAGTAGTCAGCAGGTAAGTATTGCAGTCAAAGCCTCAGTCAGTAGTGAACTTGTGACTGCCTCAAACATATCGATATTAAGGGTAAATTTAAGAACGAGGAACTAGGTCTCCAACCTCCAGACGCCCGTGAGCCTCAGTTAACACATAGAGCCAAGTTAATTATTGTGTATCTTCTCTCTTAGGCTGTATGACGTATTAGTTGCTGAACCAACATCATGATTAGATCTTTCATTCCGGTCAGCATCAGTTACGGTCAGCATCAGTTACGGTCAACATCAGTTACGGTCAACATCAGTTATGGTCAACATCGACATCAGTTACGGTCAACATCAGTTACGGTCAACATCAGAAACGGTCAACATCTGTAACGGTCAACATCAGTCACGGTCAACATAAGTCACAGTCAACATCAGTTACGGTCAACATCAGAAACGGTCAACATCTGTAACGGTCAACATCAGTTACGGTCAACATCAGTCACGGTCAACATCAGAAACGGTCAACATCTGTAACGGTCAACATCAGTCACGGTCAACATAAGTCACAGTCAACATCAGTTACGGTCAACATCAGAAACGGTCAGCATCTGTAACGGTCAACATCAGATTTACGAGTCAACACCAGTCATGAGGAATCAACATCAGTTACGGACTACATCGACATCAGTTACGGTCAACATCAGTAACGGTCAACATCAGAAACGGTCAACATCTGTAACGGTCAACATCAGTCACGGTCAACATCAGTCACAGTCAACATCAGTTTCGGTCAACATCAGAAACGGTCAACATCAGTAACGGTCAACATCAGTCACGGTCAACATGAGTCGCGGTCAACATCAGTAACGGTCAACATCAGTCACGGTTAACATCAGTCACGGTCAACATCAGTTACGGTCAATATCAGTCACGGTCAACATGAGTCGCGATCAACATCAGTAACGGTCAACATGAGTCACGGTCAACATGAGTCGCGGTCAACATCAGTTACGGTCAATATCAGTCTGGTCAACATGAGTCGCGATCAACATCTGTAACGGTCAACATCAGTCACGGTCAACATAAGTCACAATCAACATCAGTAACGGTCAACATCAGAAACGGTCAACATCTGTAACGGTCAACATCAGTCACGGTCAACATCAGTCACAGTCAACATCAGTTTCGGTCAACATCAGAAACGGCCAACATCAGTAACGGTCAACATCAATCACGGTCAACATGAGTCGCAGTCAACATCAGTAACGGTCAACATCAGTCACGGTTAACATCAGTCACGGTCAACATCAGTTACGGTCAATATCAGTCACGGTCAACATGAGTCGCGATCAACATCAGTAACGGTCAACATGAGTCACGGTCAACATGAGTCGCGGTCAATATCAGTAACGGTCAACATCAGTCACAGTCAATATCAGTCACAGTCAACATCAGTCACGGTCAGTATCAGTCACGGTCAATGTTGGAAGCACTTGTTTACGCAAAAGTCCACCAGGCAGATTAACCTAACGCAATAATAGGGCCTTGGGTAACACTAGTGGGTTTATCGAAGCAACAAACATAACATCTGAAGCCCGTGTCTTCGATCGCCCTGTTCGCCCTGAAGGTGACACGAGCGAAGCCGGTGCGTGTAATGGTGCCGTCAGGTGAGTTTGTGCCACAATGTCTGGAGAGAGAGAGCAGTATTAAGTCTGTACGTTTCACTGTCTATATATACTGATTTATTAATTTGTATATGACTTATGTATATGGCTGTGTATATTACTGTTATGTATATGGCCGTATATATTACTGTTATGTATATGGCTGTGTATATTACTGTTATGTATATGGTTGTGTATATTACTGTTATGTATATTGCCGTGTATATTACTGTTATATATATGGCCGTATATATTACCTATTATATATATGGCCGTATATATTACTGCTAGGTATATGTATTTGTGTGTATTAATGTAGAGACATTTATACCATGACATATTTTCTTGACGTCATTTTATATTGTAAATAAAACACAAAAGTTAACATTGGGAAAACCTCGAAGGTGTGAATTCAACTATATGGTGACAACACAAGAAACGTCACTCTGGGTAATAAGTAAATTATGTTGACGACACAAATAACTAGTCAATATGGATAACAAGTAAGCTATGGTGAGAACACAAAAAACTAGTCACTATGGATAACAAGTAAACTATGGTGACAACACAAGTAACTAGTCGCTATGGATAACAAGTCAAGTAAACGATGGTGACAACACAAGTAACTAGTCGCTATGGATAGCAAGTCAAGTAAACTATGGTGACAACACCAGTAACTAGTCACTATGGATAACAAGTCAAGTAAACTATGGTAAAAATACAAGTAACTAGTCACTATGGGTAACAGGTAAACTATGGTGACATCACAAGTATCTAGTCACTATGGATAACAAGTAAACTATGGTGACAACAGATGCAAGTAGTCACTATGGATAACAAGTAAACTATGGTGACAACAGATGCAACTAGTCACTATGTATAACAAGTAAACTATGGTGACAACACAAGTAACTAGTCACTACGGATAACAAGTAAACTATGGTGACAACACAAGTAACGTCACTCTGGGTAATAAGTAAATTATGTTGACAACACAAATAACTAGTCAATATGGATAACAAGTAAGCTATGGTGAGAACACAAATAACTAGTCACTATGGATAACAAGTAAACTATGGTGACAACACCAGTAACTAGTCACTATGGATAACAAGTCAAGTAAACTATGGTAAAAATACAAGTAACTAGTCACTATGGGTAACAGGTAAACTATGGTGACAACACAAGTATCTAGTCACTACGGATAACAAGTAAACTATGGTGACAACAGATGCAACAAGTCACTATGGATAACAAGTAAACTATGGTGACAACAGATGCAACTAGTCACTATGTATAACAAGTAAATTATGGTGACAACACAAGTAACTAGTCACTCTGGGTAATAAGTAAATTATGTTGACAACACAAATAACTAGTCAATATGGATAACAAGTAAACTATGGTGACAACACAAGTAACTAGTCACTATGGATAACAAGTAATCTATTGTGACAACATAAGTTACTAGTCACTATGGATAACAAGTCAAGTAAACTATGGTAACAACACAAGTAACTAGTCACTATGGATAACTAGTAAACTATGGTGACAACACAAGTAATTAGTCACTACGGATAACAAGTAAACTATGGTGACAACACAAGTAACAATTCACTACGGATAAAAAGTAAACTATGATGACAATACAAGTAACTAGTCACTGTGGGTAACAAGTCAAATCAATGTTCCATATTGGTTTTAACTCCATGCAAAGTAAGATGTTTGTTTATGATACTGATAAAACTTAGCTGAGTAACTCACCTCTCAGTAGCGCCCCTGGACGTTATTATTAGGCGGTCCTTCACACAGTCGTTACTGTCCTCTAAGCAAAAGTATGGACATCTAAATTCGAGATAGGTAGACTTCTCTGGTCCACAGTTGAACTTCCACTGACATCTGTAAACAAAGAAAAGGTTTACCAGGTGTTGATAATGATGTCAAATGTCGCTTACTGTTGATAGTGATGTCAAATGATGGCTCAAACAGGTGTTGATCATAATGCTGAGTGAAATTTGTAACAGGTGTTAACAGTGATGCCAAATGAGGCTGTAACAGGTGTTAACAGTGATGCCAAGAAAGGTTGTAACAGGTGTTAACAGTGATGCCAAGTACTGTAAGGTTGTAACAGGTGTTAACAGTGATGCCAAGAAAGGTTGTAACAGGTGTTAACAGTGATGCCAAGCAAGGCTGTAACAGGTGTTAACAATGACACGAAAGCTTAAAAATAATAGTGATGGTTTAAACATCAAGGAATAAATTAAATATATGCCACACACTTTATTTATACAGCGTATATGTGTGTGTGTGTGTGTGTGTGTGTGTGTGTGTGTGTGTGTGTGTGTGTGTGTTCGCACACATGGTGGTGAAATGCATCTCGTGTGGCAGCATTATGTTAGTGTTAAGGTACAATCACTGCTTGCTCCCTCTCGCTTTCAGCTACCACCTCTGGCTAGCCCTCGTGGCAAACAGGAAAACAACTTGCATAAGTCTTTCCCCAGCAGTACGCAGCCTCCTCACCATCAAGACTCATGCTGTGCCTCCTCGTGGCAACATATGGTAACTGGGTGCCTCGTGGGCACAGGCTAGACGGAGACCTCGGAGTAGCAGTGGGCCCCAGAGGGGCGGGGCATAGGACCACTGGCATGTGGACACGTCCTGGAGCCTACCAACCACCGCCACCGCCCCGAACGACAAATCTGCGGTGGAGCCCTGCATCAGGCAGACATGCTTACAGAGCTCCAACAAGACCCCAATGGCGGTATAGGCGGAAGAGGTGAACACCATGGAAACCCAACGACAACACCGGCGTACGAAGACAATGCCTGTACGACAGGGAACTAAGGCGAAACCCAACAAACTGGGCTATTGGCAGTCCATTGGAACTCTCCCTCTCCCTAGTCGTTGCAACACTTGTACCACTAGATCAGGAAAAGGGAGAGCCGAGATGTGTGGTTGCAGCCTGCGCTCCTGCCTCACCGCATAAATCAACTCACGCACAGCCATCATCCAGCTCATCATACCTCTCATCATCATCATAACATGACATGACATAAAGGCTAGTGACGGGGAGGAAGGAGGTTCAGGGGAAGGATAAAGGGAGGATGGAAGTGAATTTTAGAAGGAGAGGAAAAGTGCAGTGGCTTAAACACCGCTTGCGTGAGGGGGTAGGCAATGTGCCCAGATGGGTGGGTGGTGCTGCAACACACTGCCAGGACGAGGCCTAGTGGGGGCCGGGAGTAGGGTCGGGCTATCAATGGGCCAAGTGTGGGAGCTCTGATGGTCAAGTGCTCAGGATGTGTTGGTGAAGCGGAGGACGAACCAACCGCCCCGCCACGGCGGCGGCGCAAGCAGAGAAGCGCAGGGGGGCGGACCCACGGACACCTCTCACTGAAAGAAAACCAAGGAAAGGGAAACGGAATGTAATTAGTTGTAAAGTTGTTTGGAGAAAGGCGACGGTAAAGTCTTTGAGCTATGTCAAAGACGAACAGAGCGAGTTGGGGGAAGTGTTTTGAATCTTTGAGCTTGAAATGTCAAAGTATTCGTAGCAAGGAAGGATGAGCGTATCGTAGGATAATTTTTAATGAAGGCAGGAGACAGAATTGAGCTTTTTTGTCAAATTATTAACGGAGATTAAGAGGAGATTTTTTTTTCATGAGTTCGCAGTATGTTTTTTTTTGGGGGGGGGTGGGGCGGTGGGTTGTTGTGTATAGAGGTTGGTTGGTTTAATTGTAATCTGGGGCTGGGCTTTTGGTGTCGGTAAGTTGATATGTGGAGTGATAGTTTTTGTTTAGGGAGGAGTTGTTGAGTTTGGTTGTTTTTATTGAGAAGGGTTGTCACTGAGGTTGGGCATGTTTGGGTTGGTTCTGGAGAGTTGTAAGTATTTCAGTGAGGCTTTGTCTGGGGGGGGATGTTGTGTTTGGAGATTGGTTGGGGAGGCGGAGTTGGAGGTCGGGTGTGTTGATTTGTGTTGAGATAGGATTGCTTAGGGGGGATTGTTGTGTGTGGATAAAGTAAGGGGGGGGGGGAGGTGGACATTGTTAGTAAGGTCAGGTATGATAAGTTTCTTGGGAGGATTGTAGGTATGGATATGTGGTTGGTTGAGTTGAGTTATTTATTATTTATTCTTCGAGGGAGTATAGTTTCATTCTTCGAGGGAGGGCTTGTGTACAGGTACTATGCACCCCTCCCCTACCTCATTAGCTAAGGGGGGCGTCCAAGCCATCTGTATGCTAGTATGGGATGGGTATGTTAGGTTTTTGTTTTGGGAGGAGTGGTAGGGTGTGGTTAGTGAAAGGTTGAGTTGGGTTATTTTTATTTTGGGGGGATTGTTAGTAAAGGTTGGGTATGTTAGGTTTTGCTTTGGGAGTGGTTGTTTGGTATGATTAGGTGCTGGTTGAGTTGTGTAAAGGGAGGGGCAGGTTATTTTTTTTAATATAATTTTTATTTATTTATTAATTTGTTTATTTATTTATTTATTTATTTATTTAATTTTTTTTATTCATCAAAGCCCCTATACTCCCAAAAGTCCTATGGCGATGGACGAGTAGCGACGGGGACAGGCAGAGATGACTGCCGGGTGTCTCTAGTCACAACTCTGCACATGGGCGGCACAGATAAGATGTCGTTTATGCACTGGGATCTAGGAAGCAGTGTAATCCGGTCCTGTCTGTGCGACTGAGCAGCCCTATGTAGGAGCCACTCTGCTCCCCCCACATGGGGAGGGGGCTCGAAAAGGTACCTAAAAACCCAACCTGACTGGGCAACTGCACCCAGTAAGGTCATCCTTATGCGGTCGAAAACACAATAATATTCACAGATCCAAACAAAAACAAACCATGCAACCTCTTATGGTCGCTGCATGGAATGTCAGGACCCTTCTGGATACTGGCACAAATGAACATCCTGAAAGAAGAACTGCCCTTGTGGCAAAAAAATGGCTAGGTATAACATCGGCATAGCAGCCATCAGTGAGTCCCGGCTCCCAGAGGAGGGCCAACTCACAGAGCGGGGGTCTAGTTATACCTTCTTATGGAACGGTAAGCCTGCTGCGGAGAGAAACCGCATTTATGTAGTTGGCTTTGCCATCCGCCAACGCATCCTACACAGGCTAACTGAAATACCTATTGGGATCAACGAGCGCCTCACGAGGCTTCGAGTCCCACTGAATCACTCACAGCATGCATTTCTCAACTGGATGCAGAGGATGATGACATCAAGGAGGCCTTTTGCGCCGACTTCGACAGAGTACTAATCTTTATGCCCAGAGAAGACAAGGTTGTGTTCCTTGGTGACTTCAATGCCGGAGTTGGTAGAGATGCTAACATTTGGCAAGGAACCTTAGGAAGAAATGGACTAGGGAAGTGTAATACCAACGGCCTACTCCTCCTCAGCAAGAATGCTGCACACAACCTCACTATGACCAATATCTTGTTTCGGCAGGACAACCACGATCCAAACACTGGCATCTCATTGTCTACATCATTGTCAGGTAAGATATCACCGTGATGTCCTCATCACCCTTACCATGTGTGGCTCAGATCACTGTGACACTGATCATTGACTTATCAGAACCAAGCTCTCACTTCACGTCGCCCCAAAACATCAAAGGTAGCAAGCCTCTAGAAGAGGTTTTAATACTAAGCTTCTGGAGGATCCAGTTGTAGCACATGCTTTCAGAGAGCAGCTCGAACATGGGCTTATAAACAACCCAACAGCAAACAACGCGAATCCCAGTGCCGAATGGGATACTCTCAACACTGTTATGACAAAAAACCTGCAAAGAGACCCTCGGCCCGATCGAAAGAATACACCAGGACTGGTTTGATGAAAATGACCTGGCAATCAAAGTACTCATCGATGATAAACGTGCTGCTTTTGCTGACTGGCAAAACAACCCTCAGTCTCGGATCAAAGCTGATACCTTCCGCAAGAAGATTGCGGCTGCCCAGCGGGAACTTCGGAATCAAAAGAATGACTGGCTTAAAAATAAAGCATGTGAATTACAAAAAAACTGCAGATCAGCACAAGATGCGTGAATTTTTCAATTCCATTAAAACATCTTATGGGCCAATCACTTGTGGCGCATCCCCCCTCCTCTCATGTAATTTATAATTAATGACAATGAAGGCCTCCTTCAGCAATGGAAAGAGCACTACCATTCATTGCTCAACCGAATCACCAATGTGAATGTCCTGACTACCTGGCAGGTCCCTCAGCATCCAGAGCTAACCCACCTCAGCTATCCTCCATCCCTGGATAAGGTAGCTACTGCCATCAAACAGATGAAAAATAATAACGCCTCAGGGCCTGATGAAATCCCTGCCAAGCTTACCAGCCATCTCCACTCTCTCCTGGAGAATATATGAGAAAAGGAGGAAACCCCCCAAGTTCTTAAAGACGCCTCCATTGTCAATATTTATAAGAACAAGGGAGACCAGTCAGACTATGGCAACCATGGTGGGATCTCGCTGCTCTCCGTAGCTGGCAAGATTATCGCCCAAGTCCTCCTAAACAGACTTCTTCCTGAGGCAGAAAACTTTCTCCCAAAATCTCAATGTGGTTTTAGACCATCACATGGCACCACTGACATGATATTTGCTGCCCGCCAGATGCAGGAAAATTGCAGAGAACGGCGTCGTGACCTGTACATGGCTTTCCTCGACCTAACCAAGGCCTTCGACTCAGTCAACAGGGAAGCCCTCTGGTGGACTCTCAACCCTTTTGACTGCCCACCAAAATTCATCGCCTTTGTGAGGCAACTCCACGATGGCATGAATAGCAGTGTCCTACACAAGGGCACCCAGTGGGAGTTCTTCCCCATCCAAAAAGGGATTAAACAAGGGTATGTAATGGCACCAACTCTCTTTTCCGTTTTCTTGGTTGCCTTCCTTACTCGT